TACTAGCGATGTGTTTAATTGCTGGTAGTCTGTGACAGTAAAGCCAGCTAGAAGTGATAACTACTTAAAGTGGTTAGGTGTGACACGCGCTTGTTAGGTTTGTTCTCGTGGATCTTGATTGCTTACATGGAGGGATTCTTTCTTCAAATGGCTCTCCGTGCGGTATCTTCTTTGGTTCAAGTAGTCCACCTGTTTCTCTCTGAAGTAATCGTCTAGAGAAGTTGTATTTATTGCTCCGACTCAGAGCTCAAGGTAGAATTGTCAAACCACGTCACTACGGAGTCGCGGATCTGTAGTTTTTTGATGTAAGGCCTGTAACAGAAAATCAGATTTAGTTTTTTGTGTTTCTCCTTGGCACGTATTTGACGAGTTTGCGGCAATTCTATTTGTAAAAACCAGTTTTTTTTTTAAGGCTCCAAACGCGCTACTATGAACCCTCCGTCTAAGGAATCTGCGTATTTCTTTACCATTGCTTTTAAAAGCTCTAGTTTTGGTGGTTTGCGACCTGTTCATTTTCATAAAACTTTTGGTGATGATGTAATGCATTGAAGGCTTTATTTGGATAAATCTGAACCTTCGTGATAAAAGTTTATTGGAAATTACATAATTGTTAGAACCTGGCAGGAGGTGAGAGTGGAGTTGATAGGAAAGCCGGTTAGAAGAACAAACAAAAAAAAAAGAATTTTGCTGCGGGAATTGTAAAACTGCAGTGGTGTTCGAAATTGATAAATATGCCGTACTGAAGATTTTTTTCTAAACAGTGTTGCTGATACATCAACAATTGTCAGTACAACTACTCTGAAGAATATTGTCCGTCTGATAGTCAGTTTTAACGACACAAATTTACATTACTAGCAAAACTCTTACTATTGAGCAAAAGTATGCATCTTCAAATGTCTATGAAATCTTCCAGTCACTTACTAAATTCATAGTAAAATTTTAGATCGGATGAAATACCAACAGAATTTTAGGGTAGCTGCTAAAGTCATTGTTTCTCTTCCCCTAATTCTCTAGCCCCTTGATCTCTCTTTAGCTTTTTATCCTCCGCACCTCTAAGAAACACCTAAGTGTGACAGAGTCCATCTGCCGTTTTTGGTTGAGAGCCTCAAAACAATACTGTATACGTTTGATTTTACGAATAAATTAATGCAAAAACTCCGAAATAACGTTAGAAATATTCATTAAATTGAATTGAAGAAGGAAATTGTGGGACGTTCAGCAACAAGAAATTTATACTCATTTATTTATTTATTTTTGTATTTTAAAATTTATTTTGTTAACAGTAGGCCTTCAGGAGGTCATCTGCAATTTATTGCTGGCGTTCTGCATTCCAGGCCTCTATTTCAGAAAATTGAGGCCAAAGTTTTTGGGTTCCGTGAAATGGAATTTTTACTGCAAATACTCGGGTGTTTGCCATTCCTGTTAAGACTTTTATAATGTGAAAAGGTTAAAAAAACTTTTTGAATTAATCTGATTTATTGCTTGTTGTTGTTGATACAAACTCTGGCTTCAAGTTTTGTTTGCAACTTGGTGGGGAGACTAAAATCACAGTTTTTTTGGATAGTGTAAAAGAAGAAATGCTTTAACATTCAAGGGCTCATATGTTGGCCTTCTGAGCAGGAGCATAGCTGCTTAGCAATTGCCAGCTAGTTAAGATGTGTTATTGTGTTATAAGGTAGTGAAGCAGCAACTTTTTACTGAAGAATTGCTGGGTTTGGAGACCGTTGTTTTGTTTGATGATCTCTATTAGGTGAAGGGTGACGGTAAAGTTGAGGTATGTGCAGGCGTCTTTACAGTGATAGGCAGTTAGTTGTGTAATGGAAATAGTCATTGAAATCTGCAACAAAGCATTATTAGTTTATTTACTTCTATGCATAGTTGATCTTCCTTTTTATATGCATCTATTTTGACCAATTTTTGAGAGGTAGGAAAAGAAGACAATCTTTCAGATGAACATTTGTTATTTATATTCATAAGTGTATATCTAAAAGTATTAAATTTGTATGTTCATTGGTTGAGCGTCTTAAATGTTTGATCACTGAAGTAGTCTGAGTGTTTCAGAATGGAGTTGCAGTGAAAGAAAAAAATAGCTTTGTTAAATATGATTGGGAAAGTTTTTTTTTTGCTTTTTATAATCACAACGTTGCATTTCATGGATTCTGTTGGACCGTACTTGTTTATTGGTAGTGCGCAGCTAAGCAAATATGGTTTTTACGTGACTTTAAAGATAACTGTTCCTTACTTTAAGAAGAAGAAACGATGAAACAGTTTTTTTTTGCTTTTTGTTACTAAAATTGCTGATGTTTTCTGTATATTATTGATTGTAATAATGAGTTTTTAGTAGACCAAATGATAATTTATTTGTTTGTTTTTCACAGCTACAAATCTCCATTTTGCCGACATTAAGAAATATTTGGTATCTGATAAATGTGTATTATATTTATATAATATTCTAAAGCTCTTATAATTGGCTTTCTATTAACATAATATTTGCTATACAAATAAATATTTTAACTGTTGCAAGTGGTGACGTAAAAAATAGTTTTGTTTTTCTTGGCCACAACTACAGATTAAAAGAAATTTTTTTTCTTTAATTGCCCGATAATTGCTCAAAATAGCTTTAACAATTTGATGGGCATCAGCATTTGCAAGTAACCTTTTTAGGTATGTTCGTCATTTGTTGCCTTTAAGATTAGTATTTGCAAATACTTTAATCAAGGTAACGACAATTAATGCAAAAGTTGGGTACTGAAAAATACTTAAATTGCTGAAAGTACCACTAATAAGGAAGAAAAATCAGCAAAATAATATGTGATTAGTCAAATCGTTTGTCCATATTTTGTAGCATTGCACAAAGAAAATTGGTCTGTTGGGACAGTAAACAACTGGAAAACAACTGAATGTAGAGGGCAGTGCCCCACAACTTTTGTAGTGTAATTGTTTGCTTTAAATGTTGGGTTGAACAGAAACGCTTAACTATGATGTCTGAACCAATGTCTAATTAAAATTGAAAGCCAAAAAATGCGTAAGTTGCAGTGTTGAGGGATGTGGAAGGATTTTTTTGTAAAGCAGTCCGGCATATCTCTACATAATTCGTTACTGGTGTTATACGACAGCTTTAATAAGCAACAGTAACAAGTTGGTGCGGTTACTGGGCAAACAAAAAAGCTAACAACAACGTAAGGCCAAAAGAAGTCATATGACCGACTAACTAGGTTGCTGCACTTTATTTCTTTGTTTTAAAACAGCAAGTTGCATGATTAATGCGTTAAGAACAAAATTTAGCTAGTGGACGGTGGTAATCATCATCTTCTTCTCTGACATTAAAAATTGTAGTTAAAGGAGTTTCAGAACAGTACAGAATGAGTTCTATTCTTTCACCTATCTTGTTAGATTAATATTTTAATTGTTGTTAACATGTTTTATATTTATTTTTATGGTTTGTATAATGCCGCCGAAAAATTCGTTTATCTATTTCATTGATAAGTTGACCCTTAACAGTATTGTGTAAAGAGTAGTTTTGATTTTTCAAAACCGACAAGACTAGTTGGTGCCTGGTGTAACTCCTCCTTCTAGGTCTTCTGACGGGTACAACTTCCGGAGCTCATGGAGGTTCTCATTATATATAATGCTTCAGTTTCTTGGCTACTACTGAAATGGTACTGTTATTTTTCTTTTCGACAAAGAATATATTGTTTTATAACTGAACTTTCGCAGGTTTCGTCACTTAATTGGACTAAGCAGTTTACGTTTCCAGCAAAATGGTCACTAGTTGTTGGACTTTGCGATCAGCTTACAAGATCAAATCTCTTAGGCTATAAAGTTCAAATTTACTCCAGCTGTAAACTGGTAGGAAATTTTACAGTGCTACGACTAACTTGCGGGCGAAGACTTTTTTAGCTTTATGGAAAGAAAGGTTTGAGGATGGTAATCGTTGGGATATATATATATATATATATATATATATATATATA